AAAACCCTTCTAGTACATAAGGCCCTTTTTAAAATATAGTGTCAAATGCCATATTGTACATTTCTTCAAAGTCCAATAAACATGTCATAAAATTTAAGTGTAATGCCCATAAGAGCTATTTTTAAATATTTTAAACCTGTGTAATAAAGGAATAAATGTAATAGATTTTTTTTTTCAATAAATCAAGTTTACTGTTTCCACCTAAACCCCCGTGATGTGAATGTCTTGTTGGAGTTGATTGCAGCGGGATTTCCTCAGGACCCCTCTGCCCCGTGGAGCCCGAAAAGTTCATCGGAGGAACAGTGGAAATGCTTAAAGGTAGATAAACACTGTAAAATATAATCCAGACAAATCATGGCGAGAAATTCTAGGCCTGGAATCTTTTATGTTTTGGTTTTGTTTTGTTTTTTTTTCCAGTGAGAATCTCCTGTGCAAAAATCCAGCGTGGTTTTGGTGGCTGGAATCTGAAGAAGCTCCAGCTCTGACCTTGTCTGCAGCGGTGTCACCAGAGGAGCCTTTTCTCCTGCTGCTTTCCCCATCCCATGACAAATTCTGGAATAATCCCCTTTCCCAGCTTCTTGGTGAGCTCCTCAACCCCAAACTCTCGTCCCCAGGGCACTGCTGTGTGGAGGGAAACACCACAGAGGATCCTTTACTGATGTTGTCCCCCTCCTGTCCTGCAGGTCTCACTCCAGGGATGTGCCAGGAGATCCTCTGGATATGGCTGTGGGAAGCTGCTCCAGCTGCCCTGACACCAGATCTGGGTCCCTCTGGGTCACAAACCACCTCTGCTGGTCCCAGGAGATGCTGTCCCCTCAGGAGGTGACATCTGCAGCCCTTCAGGTGGGTCAGGTGCCACCAGGACCCAACCAAGCTCTGTGTGCCATCAGCCTCTGCCCTTTGTTCCTTGGCTGCAGCAGATCTTCATTCTTTGCTAAAAGGGTAAAAAAAGATGTTCAGAGAGGGAAACAAAGTCCCAGAATCACTCAGAGGGTTGGGGTGGAAGGGACAGTAAAGATCAGCCCGTTCCAYRGGCAGGGACACCTTCCATTCCCCRGGGTGCTCCAAGCCCTGTCCAACTTGGCCTTGAAATTCTCTCCTCCATCCTTGACTTCTAGGAATAGCTTTAGGAAATTTTGGGGTATTTTGGCCAAATGTTCACCCAGTGAACCCCAGAAATGCAGAGGTACCACAGCTGCAGGAAAAAAAATCAGGGCTAAACAACTTTATTTACTTAAACCTGGCTGGAAAAGCTTAACTTGGATGTCGACCATGCTTGAAGGTGACCCCAGCCCCGTTCCTGCTGCCTYCCAGTTGTGATTTCTGTGATTTACACTCAATCACTGCTGCCTTCAGTGAATTCCTCTGAGTCTCTGAGCTGGGGAAAGCTTTGATCTGCTATTAGGGAAAAACAAAGATCTGAGGAGGGATCTGAGTGTTTGTGGCACTGCCAGACGCAGAAGCTTGGCAGGTTTTTCACCTCTTTTCGTGTAACAAAGTCCGTGATTTAGCGCTCCGGCTCCAAAGCTGTAACTCCAGCAGGTGAAACACCAAGAGGAGTTTTTAAAAGATCCTCAGAAATTAGCAGATTATTGAGATATGAGTGGGAGCACCCAAACCAGCTCAGTTATGGGGTGAGGATGGGGCTGCTCACCCCAAATTCCAGCAGCAGGGAATCCTACAAGGGCAGGACCAGGACCCCAAAGCTCAGGATGCAGCAAAGAGAGAACAAGGACCAAGCTGAGCCCCCAGGGGGGGAGCAGAGCAGCCCCCAGCCGAGGGACTGGGAATTATCTGAGGGCAGCTGATTCCAGGGGTGATTCCACGGCTTTGGAAGTGGGGCTGCGGTGGCTGCAGGGCTGGGGGCTGCTGCTCTGCAGATGGTGTTTTATTCCAGCAGGCAGAGGCTGCTCTAGGATGGGGTTCCTGCTCTGAGTTTGGATTCCTGCTCTCAATTTGGGTTCCTGCTCCGAGGTTCCTGCCCTGAGTTTGGATTCCTGGGCTGGAGTTCCTCCCCTGAATTTGGGTTCCTGCTCTCAATTTGGATTCCTGCTCTGGGCTTCCTGCCCTGAGTTTGGGTTCCTGCTCTGGGCTTCCTGCCCTGAGTTTGGGTTCCTGCTCTGAGGTTCCTGCCCTGAATTTAGATTCCTGTTTGGGGTTCTTGCCCTGAGTTTGGGTTCCTGCTCTGAGGCTCCTGCCCTGAGTTTGGGTTCCTGCTCTGAGGTTCCTGCCCTGAGTTTGGGTTCCTGCTCTGAGGTTCCTGCCCTGAGTTTGGGTTCCTGCTCTGAGGTTCCTGCCCTGAGTTTGGGTTCCTGCACTGGGGTTCCTGCCCTGAGTTTGGGTTCCTGCTCTGAGGTTCCTGCCCTGCTGAGTGTCAGGATCAAAGGTAACTCCTGCAGTTTCCCCTGTGCAGTTGCCTGAGCTGACCCAACCCCAAGGATGTGTCCTTGTGCTTCCCTCCCTTCCAGAGGGCAAACAGGAGCTGCTGTGGGATTTGCTGCCTGCCTGGGAAATGGGAATTGTCCTTTGGGTTGGTTTGCAGCCRTGCTCTGGAGGAAGAGGCCCAGCCCCTCGTGCTGCTCTGTGACAGGGGACTCCTGTTTTTCATCTTGGCTTGCTTCAGTTGGACTGGATCATCTTAAAATCTTTTTCAACCGAAACAGAACTGTGGTTAAAACCATGCTCCTGCTGCTGTTGCCTCTCCAAGAGATCTTCCTCCCATCTCCTTAAATCCTGTGTTTACAACCGTCTGGTAAAAATAAAAATGGCCAAAAAAGGAGCGTTGGCACTGGTTAAATTTAGAGACCAGATCCTGGGCATCCCCTCCCTGTCTAGGTGAGTTTTGGCAAACGAGAAGAGAAGCTGTGTTTTGTAGGGGTGTTTTGTACAAAGGATTGAGCTTCCTCAGTGCCACCAGAGCTCTCCTGGAGAGAA